TAGATTTATTGGGGTGATCACCTTGTAAGTTATATAAATGTCTACTCACTTTGTTGTACACCTGAAATTAGTATAATATTGTATGTCAACTGAAATGGAAAAATACAAAAATTATTAAAAATATATATAAATTAAAAAAAAGAAAAAGAAGAAAAGGAAGAGACCAGAGCTCTTGAGCTCTCTCTCCAGGATGTGAGGATACAGCAAGAAGGCACCCACCTGTGAAGCAGGAAAAGTGTTCTTACCAGACACAAACTCTGCTGGCACCTTGATCTTGAACTTCCCAGTCTCTAGAACTGTGAGAAAGAAATGTTTGCTGTGTAAACCACAAGTCTGTGGTATTTTGTTATAGCATCCCAAACTGACTATGACAGTGGGTAAAACTTCTCTCCATCCTTTAGGGGGACAAATCTGAGGAGCACTCTATACAGTTTCTTTGTCCCAACAGTAATCCACTTATCAATATACACTTTATTGGCTCTTTTTCCCTCCAGTCTCACTCCTCCTAGCCCTTCACTTGTGCCTCCTGAGCTCCCCCAAATAAACTACTTTTATCAAGTTCTTGTCTCAGAGTATGCTAGTGAAAAAACCTAAATGAAAACAACCACATTTTTTTTTAAAGATTTTATTGGGGAATTGGGGGAGGGGTACAGCATTGGGGAATAGGGGGGAAGGGAACAGACGAGTTGCTATGCTTTTTGTTCTTTAGTGCAGTTGTGGAGGACATCGCTTCACTGGTCCATGTTGGCATTATCATAGTGCTCTTCCCAGGTGAGGCAGATTGGTCGCTGGCCACTGGACAGTCACTCGCAGTGGCTCTTGGCAGCTCATGACGGCTGCCGGCCACTCACAGTAGCTTACGGGAGCCCACTGCAGCTCCACTGCAGCCTATGCCCTCGCCGGTGACTCACGGCAGCCCAGCTCCAGGTCAAGCTGTTGTTCACCATCTTAGCTGTAGAGGGCGCAGCGTCCCTGGCCCTAATGTGGGATCCGAACTGGGGCCCTGCTGCTCAGAGCTGGCGGCCCAAGCCAACTCTTAACCAACACGCCACTCAGCCGGCCCAACAACCACATTTTTTTTGTGGCTATTTACCCCATTAATGAACACTTAATTGTCTTTCTTTCCTTTTCTTTCTTTCATTTCAAACAAGGTAATGGAAACCCTGTACACACTTTTGCATACCTGTACAAATATATCCATCTGTAGGGTAGGGGTAGAACTGCTGGATAAAAATATTATGCACAATTAACATTTTCATAGACACTGCCATTTCCTTTAAAAATTTGTGTATATGTCTTTGGGGAAAATTCTACACATTCTCACTTAAATTCTTGGTTCTGTCATGTAAATTCTCTTGGAGTTTCCCCTAGGTGCCTGTCCTAGGACCTCCTGACTTTGTGACCCCCTCCCCCATCTTAGTAACCCAGAGCCCCACATTCTAACTTTCTTGTGCTGGATCTTGAGGGTGAGGAGGTTTCTGGCCTTTAACAGGGTTCCAACACCACAGGTTTCCTTGGGAGACTCCCGAAAGCCCTGGTTTACGTTAGCCCTGCTGTGAGGGCTGGAATTTGAGTCATGTAGGAACCCTTAAATATAATTCTCATGGACTTGACTTAAATTATTTTATTTATTTATTTATTTTTAAAGATTTTTATTGGGTAATTGGGGGGTTGGGAACAGTACTGGGAAATTAGGGGAAGGGGAACAGACAAGTAGCTGTCGTTTTGTTCTTCAATCTAGTTGTGGAGGATGCTGCTTCACTGGCCCAAGTTGGC